AAAAAAAAAAAAAAAAAATTGTAATTTGTTTTTGTTTAATCCTTTTACATACCGATAGGATATTCAAATAGTCTGCGAGGGCAGCTCTGGCGTCAGTTGTGAAGTGGCGGCAAGATTCGTCACAGACCTGGCGGAGAGAGGGCGGGAAAATAAAAACGGATCAACAGTGTGGGAAGCACAAAGTATGATCGTGCACAAAACGATGTAAAATTTAAGAATGTAATAGAGAAGGGGAAGTAGACAACAAAAAGTGCCCCTTGGTGAAACGTGAAAAGGGCTAAAATGGAATGTTGTAGGCGTATAGCTGGTGATGACTAGGCCAAAGTTGATTTAGGCAAATTGAAAGGGAAGAAGGATTATACCCAACAATGTATTCCTCTTCTTCCTGAGTAGACCCACAAAATGTTTTGAAGCGCAAAATCTTCGCGCAATGCCGTGTCGAGAAGTACTATTGCTATAGTTAAGAATTTCCTAAGGGGATCATTTTTCCAGGGGTTGTAAAAAAAAATGGAGAAGAAACAAATTAGTAACAAAATATTGCCAAATGATTAACACATATAATTGCTGAAAAATGGGATTATTTTATTTTATTTTTTCTTCTCATTTCTTACCAGCATAATTTGCACACCTTCTTATCGTTACAGCAAGTTCTGATGTCGTCATAGTCGTTCATATCAATATCAAATATAAGTTCCTGCATTTTGTGTGTGTATGTTTGGGTGTGAAAAATGAGCTAAATGGATAGAGATGATCTCGAATAGTAAAAAAAAAAAAAAGAATTGTCCACGTACGCTGTTACCTTTTGAACGGGGTGAAATATGTCGCCCTTTTGATCCTTCTGATAAACTGGGTAGTTGTACACTGCACCGATATCAAATTTGATTGGCACAAAGTTGGACAGCAGTTTTTCCTTGAATTCCTCCGCGTTGTTAAAGGACTGGAAGAGAAGGAAAGGTGTGTGCGTGTGTGGGATGGAGGGGCAGGGGGATGTGCATGATTCGAGGTGGACAAGAATACAGCTACAGTTTCGTTCTCATACAAAAAATCTTGCACACTCCGTGAATAATTAGCCAAATGCCAGCATCGTTGGTGTGTGTATCAATTGTGCAGGTTTGTCTGGGTAGTTTTTCTCATGCATACGCAAATGCGTTCATTGAGTCAATTTTTTTTTTTTTTCGTGACACCGTACCAGCCATCTCATATAGATTTCTTCTTTCCCTTGATCATTCTTCTTACAAGTGAAGGAGAATTCCCTCTTGGCAAAAAAATTGGGGTCGTTCAGCCTGGTGTACTTGGACTTATGGTCTTATCGCACAGAAAAGGAGAAAAAACAAAAAAAAACGTAAAAATAAGAAAAAGAAAGTATGTTCACATGATTAGCAGCATTTATGTGCACCAATCAGATTATGCCAGTGGGTGGATATATCTCCATTCAACGTTTTGTTACATGGTGTTTTTATTTCTCTATGCCGTTTCTCTGTTGACATGTTGTCTCTCTTTTTTTTTTTTTTTTTTTTTGTTGCCTTTTCTATCGCGCTATTGACATTTAAGAGGCGATTTTAATGGCAATATTTTGCGAAGAGGAAATCGAGGTACGAGTGAATCACTCGGGTGAGCAAAATTAAAATTGGGCAGCACTTATTCCATGTAATGGGCACAGTTATGCCTTTTCTTGCCGAGAGGAGGCATGTATTTTTCGTGGGCTCAGTGATCAACATGTGCCCCGTGTACTTCTCAACATAAGCAGTACCATTTTTGTAGTTCAGCCAGTTGCATAGGTCACTTATTGGGCAGAGGTTTCCTGTGAAAAGGTAGGCGGGGCGCGGTAAAGAAAAAAATGTGTGCACATGCATATATGTGTGTACACATATGCAGATGTACACATGCGTGTACTCTTGGAGGGTTGTTCTTTCGATCTTTCTTAAAACGTGCTGTGTTAAACGCATGGCCTGTTGCACCTCTTGTGGAATAATCCAGTCTGTTCGCCCCTCCAGCGCTGGACCGATGTTGCTCCCCCCCATTTGTGGATAGCAGATGCACATGAGTCATTTTAACTAACTGTAGTAAAAAATCAAATCCGTTTCGTTAACGGTAGAATCCTTAATTTCGTCGACAATTTCCATCTCGAAGTGGGGTTCCGGGAAATATTCAGGGTGTTTTTTTTTCCAGCTTTTTTTATTGATCTGTGAACGCCTTCCTGTTTTTAGTAGCTAATGAGCAGAGGCGTTACTTCTTTGACATTTTGCGCGCGTGAATAAGCTTCCCCTTTTTTCCTTCCGCGATACATAAGGGAAAACAGCATTTAAAATCTTCGAATGAAGAATGCGCATTTGTGTGAAAAGCAGGAAAAAGGCAGTACCGATCACACAAAAAAAATATATATATATCTTTTTTTTAATTTTATGTTTTTAGTTTACGGTGTGATGTAAGCCGACGCAAATTAGACATTCCCTGAAAAAAAAAAACGAAACCCCTTTTCGGTATCCTCCCTTCATTATTATTTTTTCACATCTCTTAAAAAGAATCAATGGTAACATAAAAATAACGGGTGATGTGCTTTATCCTCTTTGGGAAGCCTTTTCCAAAATGTGGATTATAACCTCAAAAAATGAGGAAGAAATGTGCACGCTAAAAAAAAATTAAAGCACAAATTGGTTAAAAGCGTACGAAGTTTATTTTATCCAACGCAGTAGAGAAAAAAAAAAAAAAAATGGAAGGACCACAAGGGCAACATATTTTCCCGGATGGGTTAAATTCGGATTGTATATATTTCCCCATTTTTGCATAGATCCTTTTTTGGCATGAAAAAAGGAGCATAGAAAAAAAAAAAAAAAAAAAAAAAAAAAAGTTGAATGAGGCCCTTTTTTTTCATAACCATTTAATGTCATTCTGGGTGGGCTTACACATTTACGTGAAGTCAAACTGCGGTGTAAGGTGTTATGTTCCTTTCCTTATAACTATACATGGCCACCGCATACACTCTGCACGAATTAGTGGAAACGCGCTCTGCGATTTTTTCAAAACGGATGCGAGTTGCACCCCAGCGGAATGAACCGCTTTGTAAAAGTGGAGGACAACAAAAAAGAACATACATAACTGGGGAAGTAACACATACGTGGACGGATAATGTTAATCCGTACTAGTCTACGTGTTCGACATGGGTAGATTTCCCCAGCCACTGCCGCTTTCTCCCCCGAGAAAAAGGGCATATACCCTTATGAAGGGTTACAAAGATCACGAACGTGCGTTTCCGTTTGTTTGCTCCCGATTGTGTGCAAATCAGCTAAATATATTTTGGAACATGCTAAACAGGTCATGCTTCCTCTTATTAAACACCACATCATCTAGTATGCCGATATATTTTTGAAAATCGGGGTCGTAATTTAATATGAGTCGATACTTATACTTGACGTCTTCATATAAAGGCACACTTCTGTATATGCACGAGCAGGTAATTAAATAAGCAATTTGAATCGGAAGAGGGACATCCTTTCGATCTAAATTGGGTTCAAATTTATTTATCAAATCTAATGCTTGTTCAAATTTGTCTAGCACAAGAAGACATAGTGTAGTCCTTAAAATGAAAAAATGGCATTCACTTGGGTAAGCTTCTTTTTGCCAAAGGCAAATTATTTTATATAATATTTCATTATCCTCGAGGTATACAAAATGATTATGAGCTAAGCTATATTTTTTATCTTCAAAATACGCATATGCTATGGCTTTGTGGAAATCTAAGTATCCAAATATGTCATCATCATTTGTGGACCATATTATGCATTTGTTCATAAATTTATATTTTTCTTCTGTAGAATTTGCGGGGCATAAGTTAAAAATTGCGATTATTTTTTTCGCATACTCTTCGCTAAATTCTATATTATACTGTGTTAAAATTGTGCAGCATTGACACATTAAATCGCACAGAAGTACGTACTGTTTTGCCTTGGCCATTTTTTGCGAGAAGTAAAAGATGATACTCATGGAGCTACTCACTTGGTTTTTTTGCAACTTTCTGTTTATAAGTGATTTTATCAATTGGTGCGCTTCGTAATGCTGGCCGTTTTCAATTTTCTCTTTGGCCAGTTTTTCCTTACTCATTTTGTCGTTACTCATTTTGGTTGCTTTTTTAAGTGGTGGCTGCAGTGTTATTTCAACCCTGCTGAATTACTTCTGTCCCGCCTTTCTTGCTGCGCCTCCAGTGCGGTTCGTCTTCTACATGCGATGTTGCACAGATGGAGTTGCACCCCCGATTAAGGCTGGACGGCGCATACGATTTTGTGTAGAGGGATTGGGAGAGAGGAGATGCGCCCCAATATGTATGGACTGCTCTAAGTAGGTTTTCCTTTTCTCCGATGCGCATACTACGCAGTGCAGAAGTTATACCTCAAATGTGGACCTAACTAAGTGTGTCTCTTCACGGCTATGCATAGAACTATATATGTATTCAACAATATCTTGGTGCACGTTGCAGTACGAGTCGATGAATGCCTTTTGTTTTTCCTACATGTTCAAACGTACATGCGTGGGAATTCCCTTTTCGGTGGGCATACACATGGGTGGGTAGCCGGTATGTAATGATACGCAGTTGTTCAGTCGATAGGTGTTCCTCTGCGGCGCTCTGCCAGAACTCAAACTTTATCTCTACGTAGCGTTAAATTTATATTTCTACCTTGCGTTGCTTTTATTTTTTCTGTGCCCCTTCTTCTGTTCTACTCTCGCTGGTTTAATCTTTCCCTCCCTTTTTCTTCCGCTGTATCATTGCCAACTTCTCGGGAAAAAAAAAAAAAAGAAAAAATCAAAGTAGGCGCATAGGATCAAAGGGTAAACGGCATGAAATTTGACTGAATGCGTCCTCCAACAATAATTTTTTGTGTTCTTGTAAAAAACGCCTTACAAAAGAAACGCGAAAATGGGGCATTATGCAAACATCAATGCATATGCATGTAATACAAGTATTTTATTTGCGTGACAAAAAAAGCGCAATGTCGCGCGATCCGCTGCCCCATACATTTGCATTAACATGGAGCAGCTAAATTTTTGTGTCGATTTTTTTTTTCTAGGGACTTTTTTTTAAACGCCACAGTTGCGAATGCCCTACATGGAACTGTAGGCAGCTATGCATAATAACGATTCAGTGGGGAAGAAAAGTACAAAATAGGATAAGAAAATAATAATTTTTTTATTTTTTAATTTTTTTTTTTTTTTTGTCATATCGATATAAAGTACAATTCTCAGGGGAAGAGGCAAAAAAGGGCCACGTGATGACAACTATTTAGAGGCGCACTTTTCTTGGGGGGCATTTCACAGCGTTGTAAATTGAGCGCCAAATGAAGTAATGACATGTAAGATGTTCCTCCACAGAGTGAAGAGCAAAAGGGGAAAGGATACCTAACTGCATATAACTTGCCTGAAGAAAGAAAAGGTTTATCCGAATTGTGAAGGAGGAGCAATGTCACGAACAACTCAGCAAGGGGAGCAAAAAAAAAAAAAAAAGAAAAAAGAAGAAATCCAAGGCGATAACAGCTAAAAATTATATTACCATTGAAAAATTCCAACAGTGATATGTAACTTTGCGTAACGATATACTAAAACTGGAGGGATGCCGTTTTCTGGGGGACAGAATAACACAGTGGAAAGACATACCATCATGTTATTTGTGTGTCTCAATCCTGTACATTGCATCAGAAAAAGAGGAGAAAAAAGGAATTCATGTATATAAGTAGGGTTTTCGTACAGGGTGTGTGTCTCATATACGTATACACATTTGTGGCTCCTGCAGCAGTTAAGAAGTGGCCAAGTATAAGCTCACATAAGCATACATATGCACAAATGTGTGAATCATCCCACGTGACAACATCTGCATGATAAGAAATAAATGGGGAGACTCTGTCCGTCGCTTTTATTTTCCTAGCGCACTTGTTTAAGTCACAAAAAAAGGACTTTATTTGTTTTTTTTTTTTTTGTTGATAAGCATTTGTTTTTATTTTTAATTTTCTTTTTTTTGGGATAACCCATTTTTCCTCCTGTGGTGTGAAGAAGATGAATAACATCAACATCGTGTGTCTGGGTGGCGCAAGCGAAGTGGGTCGTTCGTGTGTTATTGTAGAAAGTGAGAACAGGTCAATAATGCTGGATTGTGGGATTCACCCAGCCTTTATGGGGATAGGATGTTTGCCCATTTATGACGCATACGACATTTCGAAGGTGGACTTGTGTTTAATAACACATTTTCACATGGATCATAGTGGTGCTTTACCATACCTAGTTAACAGAACCCGTTTTAAAGGAAAGGTATACATGACGGAGGCCACTAAAAGTATCTGCTATTTATTATGGAACGACTATGCGCGAATTGAAAAATGTATGAACATGATGAACAAGATGAAAGGAAGTAGAAATAAAAATGAAGGGGGTGAAAATGAAGCAGACGAGTATGGGAACAAAGGGAGAAGAGGAGGGCCATACTCCAGTGATGAATATGGCAGTGAAGACAATGACGACGATGATTATTACCAAAGTTACATTTGCGAAATGGGAGATGGAGATATAAAGCATAATGTACTGTATGACGAGAATGATATTAATGCAGCAATGAAAATGATAGAAACGTTAAATTTTCATGAGCACATAGAATTTGAGGATGTAAAATTTACAGCCTATAGAGCAGGACACGTTATTGGTGCATGCATGTTTTTAGTGGAAATAAATAACATACGTTTTTTGTACACGGGAGATTATAGCAGGGAGGTGGATAGACACATTCCCATAGCAGAGATCCCAGCCATTGATGTCCATGTGTTAATTTGTGAAGGAACATATGGAATAAGAGTGCATGATGATAGAAAAAAAAGAGAAGTTCGTTTTCTTAATATGATTACGAGTATATTAAATAATAAAGGGAAAGTGTTACTCCCCGTTTTTGCCTTAGGGAGGGCTCAAGAGTTGTTATTAATTATGGAAGAGCACTGGGAAAGGAATACACAGTTGCAGAAAATCCCCATTTTTTACATTTCGTCTATGGCTACTAAATCGTTATGTATATATGAGACATTTATAAATTTGTGTGGAGATTTTGTACGTCATGTACTTAATGAAGGAAAAAATCCTTTTAATTTTAAGTATATAAAGTATGCGAAATCTTTGGACTCTATTTTGAATTATTTATATCAAGATAATAATCCTTGTGTTGTTATGGCTTCTCCTGGTATGCTACAGAATGGAATTTCCAAAAATATTTTTAACATCATTGCACCTGATAAAAAAAGTGGAGTTATCCTTACTGGGTATACAGTCAAGGGGACCCTGGCTGATGAATTAAGAACTGAACCGGAGTATGTCCTCATTAACGATAAACCTGTTAAGAGGAGATGCCGGTTTGAGGAAATTTCTTTCAGTGCTCATTCTGATTTTAATCAAACCAAAACATTTATTGAAAAGTTGAAGTGCCCAAATGTGGTTCTTGTGCATGGGGATAGGAATGAATTGAACAGGCTGAAAAATAAGTTAACTGAGGAGAAAAAATACCTGTCCGTTTTTACGCCGGAATTGCTACAGAGGCTGACTTTTCGCTTTGAGCACAGTGACCACGTGGTGTCTCTGGGTCGGCTTTCCCACCATATTAGGTATCTGGCTCGGCGGACCGAGGGGTTACAAGGGGACACATCGGATGCAATTAACGTGGTGGGAGACGGCAACCGCGGGGATACAACCGTGGACAAAAAAAAAGAACAGTCCGGGGAAAAACTCCTCCCTGAAGGAAGCACCAACCAGGAGGATGAAAAACGGCACGACACAAATGGAGAAGACAAAATAATTCCAAATGGAGTGGATGCCATAATAATCTCGGAGCCTAAGGCCATCCCGATCATGATTTACGCCAACGACATTTATGAGTATACAAATTTGAAGACTGCGCTGATCGATCAAACGATTAGCATAAAATTCCCCTACAAGTTCGAGTTGCTATATCATATGTTGAGGGGAGTGTACGAGGAAACGCATATGGAGGGTGCGGGCAGCGGCGGTGGGAGTAACAGTGGCAATGGCGGCAGTGTGAATGGTGACGACGCAGCGGTCATCTTCGTGCAGGACGTAAAAATACAGTACTGCAACGTAGAAAAGGTCATACGGATTAACTGGCTCTCAAGCCCAGTGAACGACCTAGTCGCGGACAGCGTCAATTTTTTAATACTAGAATTTCTGGACACCATGAAAAATAATAACTACCTGCCTATCTGCAATGAAGTAACAGATGATGAGATTTATGAAATGATCATTTCGTACGTCCAGGAAAATTATACCAATGTGGCGAGATTTTCCAAAGTGGATTTGAAAAAGTTCCTTTTGCAAAATAGGAGTGACAACCCCGAGAGGGGAGAACAGGACGAAGCAAACGATGCATACGTAGGTGGGATGGCTAATTTGAAGAATGACCAATCGTACTCATCTGACAAGGTGAACCAAATGGATCATAACAGAATGGAAGAAGAGGTTGATTTACACGAGGGCCATGATGAACAAAGTGGGCATAGCGACAAAATGACAAAATTCCGCTCCCTTGATAAAATATTATTTGACTATATCGCGGCAGATGCTAGTTTAGCAATGTCCACAGATGAGGAGGAACCCGTTGTGCGTGTTCTCAATGGCGGCATGCTTTATGAAATACTAAAGTTTGAGGTAAAGGATAATAGCAACAACGACGTCAAGGTGTACGTCGATATAGACAACCGGGAAGTCATCTGTGAGGATGTTACAATTTTGTTAAAAATTAAAGAAATTTTAAAAAATATAGAGGAGTCCCTATTGCCCATGTGCTTTTAACACAGTGGGTTTTGTAGGTTGTTACACAGGGTGTTATAGGGTGCATATATTCTTGCCCCCATGAAAGGGGTACTTAATTCATCGCGTACGGTCTCCACGTCGTGGGGATCATGATTAAAAATGCGCGTGAATGAGTGGCCGCTTGGAGAGTTAATCCTCTCCGTCCCCGGGTTGTATATATGCACACGCTCATTTGTGAAACATTTTTTTTTTTTTTTGTTTTGTTAAATCGATTTTGTACAATGAAAACTTGCTCATATGTTGCTTTTGTACGCTTCATAGCGAGACACCTTTTAACAGCTCTTAAATCTTAAAAAATAGTGTTTACTTAAAAAAAAAAAATAATAAAATGTCGCAAAAAAAAAAAAAAAAAAAAGATGATATATATCTGCAAGGCAAGCGGAGCAGCAACAAAAAATTAAAAACACGGGGTAAAAACAAAAACAAAAAAGGAATTCCTTTTATGGATGTGTTATTGTGAACCAAAAAAAAAATAAAAAAAGCAAATCAAAACAAACTCCACTTTTTTAAAATTGTTTTCATTTGATATTTTCAATTGACACCAAAAAAAAAAAAAAAGACGGCGAACACACACATAGGCATTTGCGTTGGCAGCTTATGCTTATACGAATGCTCTTTGAAACAAATTAAAGCGGCTGCCAAAGGGGCGGCGCATAAATACTCGGGACGACATCACCACGAAGGGAAACTCCTCTTAGAAGTATTTTACGTAAAAACAAAAAAAAAAAAAAAAAGAAAAGAATGGGGATCCGTTCTGTTAAGACACGCATTTAATGCTCAAATCGATGATGCCGATTATGTTTTTCTGCTCGTGGGGAAAAAAGGAAGATAATGTAATGTTACAAAACGGTCGCGTTTATAGTTGCGTCAGATGGATGAGTAGCACACTGCTGGGAGGAGGACGTTGTTTCCAAGTAGCCCAATGCAAACACATGCACTTGTACTGCCAAACAATATCAGTTGGCATGCGAACAAAATAAAGGACATTCCAAAGGCGCTGTTTTTTTTTTTTTTTTTTTTTTTTTTTT